CCCCAAAACCCCAAAACCCCAAAACCCCAAAACCCCGGATTGAATTTATAAAGTTTTAAATTGAAAATTGAGATAATAATTAAAATATGAATCTCGATATCAGCAAAAGACTTAAGGGCAAGGCAAAGATTGAAAAGGAGAAGGAAACAGTCAAACCAACTGTCATTAACGATCATCTCATTAGGTATGAAATTTTGGATTTTAAAACCCTATAGAGAATATTTGATTTCCTTCAATAAAGAGAACAGAATATTTGATAACGATGACATGCCTTTATGGGAACTAACGCATCTATCTCTATCTTATAAAAGTAACTTCCACTAGATTATAATTGAGATCAATAGACATCATTGAGGTTGATAATCTATATGCTTTGGACAGATTACAAAAGCTTCAACTTGACAACAACATCATTTGCAAGATTTAGAACCTTGATCACCTCGTCAATCTGAAATGGCTTGATCTATCTTTCAATTTGATTGAAAGAATCGAGGGTCTTGATAAGCTCACCAAACTCACTGATCTATCTTTGTTCTCGAACTTAATTACTACTTTGTCAGGTCTCGAAAATCTTCATGAGTTGAATGTGCTCTCTGTTGGCTAGAACCAAATCATGGAGTATCAGGAGGCCATTAAGTATCTTTTCAATCATAAAAACAAATTGCAAGTTTTGAAGATGGCTGACAATCCATTCTTTAAGACCAAGGAGTCTGAATACAGATAGTTTGCTATTGCCTTCTTAGGAAACTTGAAGTATCTTGACTATGAACTCATCGACGACGAGACCAGAGAAAAAGCTATTGAAAAGCATAAGGAAGAGTTGCAAGAGCAAGAACAAGCCAAGAACACTGAAGCAAATGAAGAGTTAGAGAAATAAACAGACCCTGCACTTAAAGAAGCCAGGATTGAATGCACCATCCAAATGGTACAGAAAATCATCTAAGAGGATGAAGATTCAAAGATGCTTGAAGCATTGTAAAAATTCTAAGAAATCTTCCAGCCATTTGAGCAAAACATTGATGAGCACACGACTAAGTATCAAGCTGAAATGAAAATGAGAAATAAGGAGAAGATTAACACTCTTATTTACTGCGAACAAGTTTTAAGAGAAGCTGAGAAAGAGGCAGAAAAGGAATCAATTAAGCTGATTGAAGCATTCAAGAGCAAGAGAAAGCATAAATTCAGACAAGTAGACTAACTTGAAGATAAAGATGAGGACGTAGATCTCGATGAATTCGAGTTTGAATTGCTTGAGGACATTAGATCTCTTGAAGATGAACTCCTTGGAGTAGAGATGAAATTGAGTGAAGCCCTTCAAACTTCAACTGGAGAGTTCCAAGAGAAGATCAAGAAGATTCTTGAAGAGATGAAGAGCAAGACTGCCACTTTGTAAATATAATTGTTCTTCTAATTAATTCTATAGCATTAAGGATGTTCAAGAGGAAATGGAGCAGTTCAACGCTGCTTTGAGAGTTCATGCTTATGCTGAATTCGAGAGAGTGTCAAGCTTGACTGAGGATCAAAACTCAGAGTTGCAAGAGCAGATGACTGATGGCATGATTCTGCTTATGGAGGACAGAGATGTGCTCACCTCTCATTTAGAGGCATCAAAGGAAAACATCGATACAAAGATCGGTGACAAGGAAAGCGAAATCAACAGAACTCTGCAAGACGACTGGAGACAGACTGAAACTCGTATTCTCGATCAGCAAAGTTCTAGAAACAGAAACATCATTGAGGAAATCATTAAGACTTGCGAAAACTTCAGAGAAGAAATCCGTAAATTATACTTGCTTGTTTATATCTATATTTAGAAAGAGAATTCAGAAGACGTAGAGGTGATGACGAATGAGAATATGAATAATAGCAGCTATTCTCTCATGTTATAATCTAGATTATTTTAAGATAGACTTAAGAAATTAAATTATATTTCTGTTCTTATAATTATTCATTATAAAATACTTCAAATCATCAACTAATCTAAGCTCAATTCAAATCAAGAATCATCTTCACTTTCACTTGAAGCAATCTGTATTGATTTATTCATTAAATGTCCCATTACTTGAAATTCCTTTATGGTATCCTTACAATTAGTAAGATGGCTCATGAACTCTTCATGATTATCCTCAAAATTCTTAATCAATTTCTTTCCATCATTTCTTACCTTATTGCAGTCATGAAATATATCAGTCAACGAGTTTAAATTAGATACTAACAAGCTTTTCTGTAGTTTGTCTTTTTCGTTTATTTAGTTGATATTTCTAACTGATGGCTGAAAGGAGATAGATCTATTAGGAGATAATCTAGAAGGACTCACATTCAGACTTCCAATGTGGCTGGGATATCTATTGTTTCCTGGACTTTAATTTGGCTAATGAGAGTTGTTAAACTTATCACGAGAGCGCTTTAAACTTAATTATCTGAACTTCTTATGAATTTCCTCAGTTATTTGTTTTTCTTCATTCTGCTCTAGTATCAATGGCTCGACATTATGCATTCTCATTGGAGATTACTTCAAAGTGTGAGACTTAATAGAATCAAATAGTTTTTGAGATTCCTCTTCATGCTAGATTATAATTTTCTTCACATCTTTATCTTGATACCTGATTTGCTTGAAAGTCTGAAAATCAAGGCCATTAGAGTCACCGTCAGGTTCAAATATCTAATGCTTTGGAATCAAATACAATCGCTGTTTATTCAACCTAAGATATTCCCTCAACTTCTAATACTGCATTTAAGGCTCATTGCTCTTAGTCTGCAAGTTCTTCTATTCCTTAACGAACTAGTGTACTTTTGTCTGTATGTTAGACAGAGACATGGTCACATTGTAAGGATTCATGTAGTAATTAATTTAATCCAACTCATTCCTGTACTTCTTGATGTTGGCTTTGCAGTTCCTGGATTTTAGGCCCTTCAAAAACTCTTAGTTCTCTAGATACTTCTGGTTCTACTAGTAGCTGTCTTAATTCAATATCTGGTTCTTTCTATCAAACCACATTTCCTTTCGAGTCGCTTTTCTCATAAGTCCTGGCTAAGCACTTTACTCAGTGGGAGATGCTTTAATAGGGTTCTACATTTCTAAGGGGATAGATTAAGCAAGCATACTTGCCCTTCGATTTTAATTTATATGAGGCAATGAATTATTATTCTCTTGCTTGTGATTTTACTTTTAAGAGTCAAAATCCTCATGACTGAAAATTTATGATTAGTTCAGCTAGAATTGCACATTTCTGTTTTTAAGTTTTTACGGTTGTTTATCCATCTTGAAATCGTCAATTTTAACTTCTTTTTACTCATTAGAAATTTTAATTTTGATAAGTTTAATTTTCAGTTAATTTTTGCCGAAATCAACTGATTTATTTACCTCTGGTCGTACTTTGTTTCACCCATTTAACCTTGAAACGACATTTTCCACTCCGATAGAACTATTATTAACTTGTAATGACATTTAATTAATAATTTTTATCTTTATTCTAAGCTATTCATTTTCATAATTTTTAATATAAATAACCATGGGGTTTTGGGGTTTTGGGGTAGAGTTGG